TCAAATGGCACTTACAAAAAGGAAATGTCAGCAACTCGGATAGCGACCTTTGAGAAAAATACCCGTATGGCAGAACGAAACTGGGTCAATGTGACCAATCCAGTATACGATCCTGCAAATAAACCCGAAATCGAACAGTTTGTACGCCAAAAAAGACCTCCTTCAAAGTCAAAAAGTCATTTTAATAACAGTGAGAGTACTGGTGGTGCTAGCTACAACAGTAATGTGGACAAAATATATGAACTTGCACCATTGACGGTAATCGAGGAAAACATAAACCCTTTATGGAATAATGTACCGTTCCGTTAAGCCCCGGCCTCTGAATTTAAACTTGTTACTTAACTCACACAAATCGTGTCGTGTATTGAGACCCCTGATTGGTAACTTTGTTTGATTCGCACTCTGGAAATGGTTCATTATTTCCTATTGCTGATCGATTGTAAATAAATAATTTTCCATTTATCTTCCCGTGACCCCCCTCCCAACCGTTTTTTTTTAAAGAGAGAATGGTCTAATCCCTTTACCAACTAGCGCACCTGATGAAGGAATCGGTAAAGTGATTACTCAACACTAAGCCTTACTTCATTTTCACCTAGAAAAAGCACTCCTAAAACAACGAAAATATAGTTACTAAAATAGCTTCATATCTAAAAGTCAACAATATTTTTGCAAACAACCACTGAACCAAATATTATATATAAATATTATATACATTGTTATATTTTAATAATACTCCTACTCTGATGCTGATCGAATCTTATCTTTTGCTTGTTATGTTTTTGCTGTTTTATCTTTGCATACATGTTACTAATTCAATGACACCTCCGGAGTGGAAATTGTTCAGCATGTTAAACTGTCAGTAACACCTGTTGTATTGCATACTATAGCCATCCCATTAAATTAATGTTAATTCCTCTCCACTTCAAAAAGTGTCCATAGTTAATTTGATCTAAGCCGCCAGATATTCTCCGCAGTGGTGTAACCCTGTCTCTTATACACATCTAGATGTGTATAAGAGACAGGTATAAACATAGTGTTTTGTAATTGAGTTTAAAGGCGTTTTATTCCATACAATCCCACCAGTATTCTTCAAAGACTGTTTCGTTTCATCAATATTTAATTTGGGAATAATAATTTTGAGGGAGTTTGCATTTCTTGTGTTAAGTGAATGCCTGTCGAACACCACTTCAATTTCATTAGAGTCGAACTGGAGCAAGACCATTAATGCATTTAAACATAAGACATGCCAAATACCTTGCCTTTGATAAAATATTTTGCCACAAGAGTTCATTAAATAAGTTCGCACCAGATAATAAAAATTCCGAAAGACAATACGAGCAGCTCTCTTTGGTAACTTAAACAACACCTTTTTGGTGCTTAAGGATGAAATTCCCCAGACGGAATAAATATTATCAAAACAGGGTTGAATAGTTGTTTTATATAAAATGATACCATGTTCCTATTTAATCACTGTTGCTATTTATCTATTTTGTGTTTACAGTGCTACACAGCAAACTTAGTACAGGCATATAGACGTACACTATATGATATCGTTTTCATGTGCCACAAATTGTATGTGAAAAGAACAGATGCGACGAGTATTTTCTATTTAAATAGACATTTTAAGTAATAATTGATTAAGATGAAAATATACGAAGCCCGAGGGAAAGCTAACGAAGATGGCAATTCGGTGCATATATTTACTTGTTACTTGTCTTCATAGCCGTTTTCTTACATAGCAAACATGACCGTCATTGACCGATCTGCATCAGTTGACATAAATTGCCATGCATTAACATGACAGCAATTTTATTTGAAAGTAGTGCAGTTATTTATTTTATTTTATTAAATTCTTTTATTCATTCATTCCAGTGGCGGATCCAGGAATTTGAAATAGAGGGGGCCCAGGGAGGGACTCTGACAAATGGAGGGTCTACCATCTCAGTTCCATGGTTGGGGCTGAGGTAAGAAAATTTACAATTATGACACCTCTAGATGGCCGGAAATGGCACTCTCAGACATAAAATTTGAAAATAATTTTCTTTTTTTATTTAACATTTTACAACATTTACACATGGGGGGGGGGATGCCCCCATTAAATTCGCCACTGCATTCATTGATTCATTTATTTATATGAACCTAAAATAACGATAATTACTGTGAGTCCAGGCGCAAAAATGATTACATTAACCAGGTATGATCAATTCATTGAATTATATTATTCTATAACCAATAAATATCAAAATGTGCTTCAGTAATAATTAATAAAGATATATCAACATATTGACATAATATAAACATAGCAATCACAATTATAAAAGACCTCTATAATATCAGATATAAAATTGCTATACATACTCCCACAGAGGAAAACATGGTTACATAACCATGAATAATATACAGTGTATTATTATGAACCAGAGGGTGCGCTCGCTTCGCTCACTTACCCTGTTAAATTCTGCGATTAGTTTTGATTACAATATTGCTCGTTGGCGTTCTTATGTAAAGTAAGTAAACTTTAATGTTTATTCAAGTATAGTTTATGTGTTTGTCGTAGAGATACCATTTATTGCCGGCGGAAACAGAATTTCTATGTTTCTAATTCGAATCAAACTGTATCTCATATTTAATATCTTTTTGTAGGCGTGTTTAAAATTGCATACCAAACCAATTACAATGGTATTTGGTACTACTGTATTACAATTTATTTTGAATTCCATTTTCAATTGTTTTATTTTTTTGAAAAGAATATTAATCTCAGCGCGTTAAACGTTTTTGACGCTAATGATAAACGTACAGTGAGGTACGTCACACTACGAATGGAAATTAAACTCCAAACGTTTCTATATAGTACCGTTATCGTCTGTAGTGTGTAAATGTAATTGCCTAAACACTGCAAAACACTGACTATTAAGACACGGTGAGGGAATGCGGAACGTAAACGTTAACAGCACATGGTCGGAAACAGCTACCGGTCCAGTGAAAAACGACGTCATTATATTGCCCTCAATTAACTTAAAATATGGATTGATATTCACTTCGCGTGATCGACAATTTGATGACAACACAAGTTACGGTGCACATGTTTTTTTGTTGGTGTTGCTGTGCCACTGCTTTATAATGAACTTCCACCAACCATTCAGTGGCGGCTCTAGGATATATTTTCTGGGGGTGGGGGTGCTAAGTTGTCCGACAGGGGGGACAGCTGGGAGAAGGGGTTGGGAGGGGTTCCCCCTCCCAAATGAGAAAAAGAACATCAACCTCTAGATCGCCGAAAATTGCACTCTCACACTGTGACAGACATGTGTTCGCTTGTTGTGGGCCTATTTTTATATGTTTTATTGTCTGATTGCCCGACGAGCTCTGTCGGCGGGGGGGGGGGCTTGACCTGTCCGGTGGGGGGGCTTAAGCCCCCTGCCACCCCGCTGGCGCCGCCACTGCAACCATTTGCAATATTACTTCACTAGCTGAAGCTAAAATTCAGCTGAAGAACCATCTCCTTTTAAGCAGTTTTAAATAGCATGTTTTGGAGATTGACAGGTGCTTTGAGACGTTCGTGTAGAGCCACACAAAAGCAAAATTATCATTATTATTCGCACGATTTCAAGAAATCTTCAGCTCATAGCCAAGCAGCTTTCACCTGCCATGGGTCGTTAACAAGTTGACGATCGTAGTCTTTCAGCGATATAGTCCTATCAAGTGTGAGCATGCTGAGGTCCTCTTCCGTTGGGCTGTCAACGCCTCCTGTACACTCTTGTAAATTATTACTAGTTTTAACTGTGACGATTGGGGTAGCATTATCCTCATCATCAATCGGAACAATTTTACTCCTGAGAAAATAATTGGGTTAAACATTATTAAATAATTAATATGTATATCCATGTATGAATGATAATGTTGACATTAAAGGTGAAGTAAATACCTTTTTCAGAAGTGTATTATAATTTTTAATATATCACTAATATTGGCAATACAACTATTTATTTCATACCGCCCAATATTCAATGAAAAACCGTGTCAGCTTATTTGTTAGAGCATTCGAACGGTAATTAGTTTGATGGGAACAAAACGTTATTCTAAAAAATAATCATCTTTATTATTATCTTAATGAAACTCGAGTTCAAGTGAACAGCGGGTACTGCATTGTTGAGAGTAATTCGACCCTGGTCATCAGGCGCTAGCTCGGTGGTCTAGAGGTATGATGCCAGGCTAGTGATCTGGAGATCGTGGGTTCGAGTCCCACCCGAAAACAACTTGCCATTTTTTCGCAATTTTTTTCACACGTACTGAGCATTCAGTGCATTTTCACATAAGGTAGTGCAAAAATTACACCTATACTTGATAATCCAGTTATTGTCTATTCCTTCACGACAATAACAATTACTATCAAAATTTACAAATGTAATTAAGGGAGGTAGGAGGTCTGAGGGTTAGCTAAACAAGTATAAAAACTGTCTCGCCTTATTGCCAAATTGTGGAAGTAGATATGTACATACCTGTGGGTGATGAGTGCAATTGCTAAAAGCAGCATTATTCCACAAACGATTAGTAGTCCAAATATCAAGATAAAAACTGAAAGATATGGTTATTAATGAAAATATCTTTGTGGCTATAAGCGTTTTGAAATTTAGTTATTGACGTTTTAAAACAATAAGCAAAAATTAAGGCAAACCTTTGAACTCGCTAGATGTGTATAAGAGACAGCTGACACGGTGAGGGAATGCGGAACGTAATCGTCAACAGCACATAGTCGGAAACAGCTACCGGTCCAATGAAAAACGACGTCATTATATTGCCCTCAATTAACTTAAAATATGGATTGATATTCACTTCGCGTGATCGACAATTTGATGACAACACAAGTTACGGCTAACGCGACAACATCTTTTATCCTTCTTATATACATATACATATATGCATACATATACATACAGTATAATGTATTTTGTATAGCCGAATAGATTCAAGGGTATAAACAATTATCCATCAATTAGGCCTACTCATTTATACTCTAGCTGGTTGTGACTTTTACCTGTTTTCAGCTCAATCGGCCTCATGGTCGAGGGATTCACTGATTCGTTTGTCAGTGTAGTCAGTAAGGTGGTTTTATTCAGTGGTCCTCCTACAGACGTTGCCGATTGCATCATTGATGTCATGACGCCGTCTGTTGCATCTGCTTCCACAGTGTATGTGCTGTCTGTCACCAAAGGCAACGTATTGCTTTTTCCACTCGATGTTTCCATTTCGGGAATTGTAATTGCAACGTTTGTCGACGGCCTATTTTCTGTGGTAGTTGGTAAGCCGACCTCATCTGTAGAATGAGATATACTGGAAGATTCATCCGCACCTTCTGTAGATTGTAGTTCGTGTGTAAAGAAAGAATACGATTCTTGTGCTGATATTGACTCTGTTGTTGACCTCGCAGGATATGTTTCATTTAAAGACGTCATCTGCTGGTACGTCGTAAACCGATCAGTAGCCGTATCGGTCTTTGACAACGTGGTCTGTAAGAAAGTTGGCGTATCTGTAAATAAAATAGAATAATTAGGCCTAATTAAAAAAAAAACGTTCTAAATAGAAAACATAAATTACATAAACAACAGGCGTCAACTGTGCCATTAACCTACATTGGTACATTTGATAACAAAAGCAAATATTATTAAATCTACTATAAAGAGCATTAAGAATCGTATTTTGCTAAATCCCACAGTCAAATAAGCCGATGCCTAGGTTTCTAAAAGCTCGAAAATAAATGATTGCAACATACGTTCACATGTAAATTCTGGATGACTCCAAGTTGCATTTGACAGACACACTGACACACCATAACCTATCAGGATAAGATTACTCGTACACTTATAAACGACAATACCACGATACTGCGACGACACGACGGTATGCATCGAAAACTCAATGGCTGGCGGTGGGAATGAGCAGTTTACAGCTACTCAAACCGTAACGGCGAAACGACGACGAACATGCAAGTAGGAAGATTAATAATGTTGTTATGCCATAATAATTCTGTTTCATTCAATATAATCATATTAAGTCATAATGTGGATAATCGTTATTAATTCTATTCTTGGTCTATTAGAATAAATAATAATAATAATAATAAAAATAATAATTAATATGATTTCTGTAGCGCTCATATCCATTTGAAAGAAATCCTCAAGTTGCTGGGAAAATAAGCGGCACAAAAAAGAAAAATTGGGAAACCTAAGCCAGTTAGTGTCCTACAACCTAACCAGAAGAAGAGGATCCAGCATCACTGCTTCTTTACCAGCATTTTGAAGCTCCGTTTAGAACAACATTTCTTCTACAAAATGAACTTCTTCAGATATCAATATATGAATACAGTATAAAAAAAAATCATTGTTTACCTATACAAGATGGCTGGTCTCGAAACCACTGTCCTTTTCCGATGCATGTAATTGTAGACGGTCCTTGGAAGTGGTAACCAGCTTCGCAAACGTAAGTAACATTATCACCTATGGCGTATCGTGATTGGATGGAAGTAACCGCAACTCCATGTGGAATACCACCTGGGAAGCCACAAAAATCTTCTGAATGTAACCAAGGATCTGAAATAAAAATGCATCCCCCATGTTACTTATGACAAAGATGAAACACAAAATAGAACTCTTGCATACGCATCTTCATACGTACGCGACGCCCTTCTCTCTTCCCAATAATGACAATTTACGTAAGTTTGTTTATCTCCAGCCACCATACGCGGCGCCTCGTTTTTAATGGGGCACCGCGTACGGCTGGAGATAAACGAACTTAAGCTAATACAGTATACCCACTATGCAATTCGGTGATGCAGATTTTATATGAGGAGAGTTATAACTTGTGTTTCAAGTATCTTGACTTATGGATAAAGGAGGACCAACTGTTTATGTAGGTATACGAACCTTCCGAAAGGAGATTCGCGCAGTTTAACCTTTATTCAGCCCAAATGCCAAAGACCATAATTCAATCCCACATATAATGTAAAGGTATGAATGATGTGGTAAAAGTCTGCTTTCCATGTCGAGTACACTGTCGCTTTATCCATTGGATCACAAATTATTTTCCCTAAACCTACAGTACACACACACACACACATACACATACACACACCCACACCCACACCCACACCCACACACCCACACCCACACACATATATAATGTAAAAACAATGAAAAAAAAAAACGAGTTACAATCATTGAAAGTTGACTTGTGGACACAAATTTATTAAAATATAACAAAATCAAACTTATTAATAGGTCCATGACTGGACCACAAAATACAAGTTCGGCGACAAGTTAAATAGTGGATAAACTACATAATCAATGCTTTTTTGCCGACATCTTATCATGGTTTACTTGTAATTAATCCACTTATTAATTTGTCACCGAACTTTTATTTTGTGGTATATATACCGGTACCTTTTATTTTGTGGCATGCGAGCGAGCGAAGCGAGCATTTAGGCTGGGGGCCAGGGAGTCGCCAAGGGCCCCCACTGGAAACTACGGATATTCGACAAATTTGGGTGAATTTGATAGGCATCATGATAGGCATCAGACGTAGTTTTTAGCTTCACATTCTTATATCTAAACATAATAACCTCTATAATATTTTGCTACGATACTTACCATAACTACATATGTACCGTGTGTCGGTCTTGCTACAGTCGTCATCGTTCCAGTCATACGCATAAGGAATTTTGAACATGTCGACACAATTTTCAGAAGGATGACTAGGCTCTATGGAATAACCTATATTGCCCCATGAAGAATACGTTAAGTTGAAACCTGAAAAGTATAATGATAATCGGTAGTATCGTGGCACGGTGATTAATAAAACACCACTGTCATCGACCTCCAGTAAAATTTCGTAGGAAATCATGCAAGGTGCAACATTACCATATAAGCACTGTGTTACACAATACGTAACATACTTGATGGCAATGAAATCACGAATGTTTGAAAGTATTTTGTACAAGAAATCAATAAAGGTTATTTGAATAGAAAAGCAGTTGGATATATATTTTTTGTGAATAAAATCTTCAAATTTGTTAGGTATTTATTTAGAAAAAAAAAATAGGACATAAGCCGATTAATTTTGATTAGCTGATTAAAAAAAAAAGCACAACTTAAATAATCCACAATCTTCAATATTCCATTAGGTGTAAATGGAAGCTTGGCTTTTAATTTAGCAGCGCAACTTGTATTTCATAGATATTAGTTACTTGTCTAATGTTTGTATCAGCTGTAGTCAGTTAAATCTTTACCGTTTGTCCATTTCCACTTGCGAGGATTGGCATTCTTTTGCTCAGCCCCAATCCAGTAATCAATTCCCTGCAGTTTATGATTAGATTTTATTGCACTTGTAATATAATCTTGTGTGGCTTTATTCAATATTTCTGCAAGTTTTCCTTCTAATATTGTTCCACCATCGTGGGTTAAAAATCTGTAAAGGCATTTGTCCTTCGCCCAGTTTCTCTCCTCATTCGCATAAGGGTTGAAAACAAAACAATATTTGTTGCCATCTATCTCTTCTGGCCCGTATGGTTCAAATTTTCCACCTGTGTTAAAAAATGTCGGACAGGTTTCATCTAAAATTTAAAAAAAGAGCTAATGGTAACTCCAATTGTATGATATTGTTTTACAAATTGATTATCTCTGTTAATTATTGATATTTCTGTATTATTATTATTTCTGTAATTGTATTAATATAAAAGGGTTAGTAGTATTAGAAGCAACAGCAATAGCAGTAGTCGTAGATCTAGTTATATCAATGGTAGTATAGGCCACAGTAGTATGCTCATTTAAAGTACACAGTTGACTTTGAGTGTGAACCACTTTAAGCAAGGCAATTCAATAAAATTTAATTTCCTTGCTTTAAGTTAGACGCGTGTTTACTGCAAACGCGGTGCAATAGTTTTAGATGATTGTCTATGACGCGATCTGACGTAATGCAAGCATCGACGCTGCTAATTGTTTATATTTCGGACGAAGGTACAATTGAGACACTAGAGCAGTTGCGTTTTTTTGTTCGTTCGTTTGCTTTTGAACCAAGCTTAAGAGCGTCATGTTAATTAAACTAACCAAATTGACAAATGTATCCTATTTTAATACCACAATGTTGACTGGACCACGTGGCTGTATCATTCATCATGTAACAGCATTTCCCTTCTTCTGCGTCTGAAGGTGAATCCCAGTTGCTGTAGATCATTTGCGAATCAGCTTTAGAATGAAACAAACAGAATAATTTTCTTAAAAAGTTTTAACCCTTTAATTATGATTAATATTAATACGATGATATATTTAAATATTATTGTCATCGTCAACGTCAATCAATATCAATAATATCAATGTCATTTACCTTTACTACCACTATATCATTATCATCATTAATATTAGTAATTTAATTTCAATGGTTAGGTAATGGTTGCATTGGTGGTAATGGTAATGGTCGTATTAGAAAAATAATGTTATTAGTAGTTATGGTTCCCGTTAATTTGGATATTAATGTACAGTACATTAATATTAGTAACAGTAACAGTTAGGCCTAAGCCAACAGTATAATATGGTACTATTTTTGTATTATATTTCTTTTTAAAAAATAACTAAAATTAGAAAAACGAATAATTAAATTTAATAATTGTGTTTGCCACTAAGTTGACATTATTATTTACATCATCAGCATCGACATCGACTGACTGGTAATCAATTTAAGGATCTCTACAGGACTATTTCAGATATTTCATTTCATATCCCAAAAAAAACAGAAAATAATATTCTTACAAACAATCCAATACCACAACATATCTTCATATAGGCCAATCCAGTAGTTGTGATCTTCACTGCCATACCTCTTCGTTAGCTCATGAACAATCCCGTTCTGTGATTCGGCATCACCGATGTAGGCAAGGCTACTGCCATTAGATAAACAACTCGCTTTAGCATCTTTCCACGTCTTGCCTTCTACTCGTATACTATAGCATAATGCACCAATAACAACATCATCGGTGTGGTTGCAAATGCTACCTGTGTGACGTCATTTGAGGGAAAAAATCAATTAGATTAGAATGTCGAGTAATACAAATTACCCGATTATCAGTAGAGGCCCCGATTCAGCTGTGGCGTAGCTACGGGCACACAGTGCAAAGCACTGGGGCCCATGGCTATTAGAGGCCCATTCATAAATAGGCCTAAAATAATAATTAGAATACTGTATTTTTTAACTTAATTTTGAAGAAAAACGGGCAGAGGGACCCTGAATTATATAATATTCAGTTTTTTAGAGGAGTAAGTGATTACTGTGTTCAATGGTGTATTCAGGGCCGGGGTCCCATCCTTTCCGACCCCCTATTTTTCAAAATTATAAAAAAAATAGGGAAAAAGGAAATTATATTCATAATATTATAAGTCTGAGAGTGCTATTTCCGGCCATCTAGAGGTGCTATAATCATAAATGTTCTTACCCCAGCCCCAAAAATGGTGGGGCTCCCTTCTCCACCTGTTAAAATCCCTTCCTGGTACTCTATCCAAATTCCCTGATCCGCCACTTCAATTGTTTAAATCCACGTGCCACCATTTTTTTAATTAGTTAAGTACAGCTGCTGAGACTGAATATGCCCCTCTTAAAATAGTTACGAATCCGATTATCATTAGTATTTATTTCTAACCTAGGCCTTTAGGAGTAGGGGGTTAAAAAGCACTTCTTATTTCTTTTCTGAGAACTAGGGAATTCCCCTATCACATCAAAGGGCCCGGCAATTAATCCTACGCTGGGGCCCTTTCGCACCGAGCTACGCCGCTGCAGCTAATACTTATATGAGAAGCAGTGAGAAGAGGAGAAGCATGCGAATACAATCTTGGACCCAGCGCATCTAATCCAGTGTTAAATAGTATTCTAATGCCACCACGCGGTTGGAAGAATAGCAAATTTAACCATTATAAGTTATGCTTCCACTTTCGTTTTTTTCTTTTTACAATCACTTGTATTCACTTAACATAGAAAGAACATTACAACTGATTAAAGAAAAAGAAGCATTTAAAAACTCCCTATGATAACATTCATAGGTAAATGACAAGGGAGAGGATAAACTAGATTACAAAAGAAAGCAGAAGAAGGAGAAGAAAGAGGAAACAAAACATTATATACAAGAAGAGACGAAAAAATTAATAAAACTGAGAAAAGGTACAATAAAATATTTTGTTTTGAGTTTTAGCTAGGGTATTCATTTATACCATGCATCCCTTGACGGTCCATCACTGCAATAGACAAAATGTACACAGTAAAACAAGATCAATCTATAGGGAGATTTCGCAACCTTACTAAAAGGATAACGAATACGTCATTATCATTATCGTAATTCGTGCCTAAAACATTCGTGACAATATTATGCTGAACTAGCTGAATGATCGTTGATCCGCGCAAAAGGCACAAACGCCTAAGTTTTGACATATGCTACTTTAAAGGTTAAAGGTTATTTTAGCGGAAGGTTTGTCTAGAAATTTGATGACGTACCGGTACCCGTATTCCTTATCTTTTTAGTGAGCTTGCGAAATCTCCCTAATGTAGGGCCACTAACCAGTACAATTTGGTGCCTCTCCGTTCCATGTTCCATCACCCTGACATTGTCTTTCGCTATTTCCTTCAAGGTTCACTCCTTGGTAACAAGAGTATGAAATAGTGGCCATATAATCTGAGCTATTGGAACTAAAGTTTCCGAATGCGGGTGCTGATGGTTCTGGACATTGTAAACCTATTGGAAACATAACAAAATTGTTTTCCTCCGGAATGTTACTTTGAACGAAATCATAATTCTGATTGGATATACAAGTTGCCACTGCATAAGTGTGATCCACATACATATGGTAGCCATTTATGTTATGACTTAACATTAAACCCGAATTGTACGACCTTGATCCTTAAAATACATAATAGTATAAACTTATTCAAACCAGCGGAACTAAATTTTTTTAAATTTTTTTTAGGGTGTTTCATGACTGATACTACCGTCCTGAGATACAGGCGTACCTCTGATACACCTTATTGTATCATTATTTTGTCTCCTCCAAAAGATCTATAGCTGAACTTACATTTGCATTCAATGTTTTCTCCTACCCATTTTCCACTTTCACAAAATTGTACCCCATATTTTTGATCTCCAGTAAGCACATAACCGGAATCACACGAATAGATAGCATAATCTCCTTCCTTTGACCCACCGCCTGTAAAGGTAGAATGCTCAAACGACGGTGGTGAAGAGCTACAGTCTCCTGTAATAAACATTCCAAACAAAGTTTTTATTATTCTTAACTATGAATAAGAATAGAATGTATATATAGTTTGGTGGCAACTGGTCTTTCAATACTAGTAAATTCACAGCAAACACAACGCGCTTTTATAACGTTCGTAAACGTTGTGTTTGTTATGTTGCACTAACATTGCAACGTTATTTAGTTGTAAAATTACGTTAAATACGTATTTATGCTTTTACATTAAAATAACATTCTGTACGCCAATTATAACATTATTGTAACTTAAAATTGAAAGTCCTAAGACTTATTTGCAGTGGTATTTCTGATGGTGAATAGGGCAGTACACCGGAAGACAATCCCTTACTGAAATTTCCGGTGTACTGCGTTCTTTAAAGTGCACCATGCGTGCAAAGGGCCATTTTACATACGGGACCTACGGCTTAAAGCAAGTGCACTTTTGGAACTTGCAATTCAGCCCTCCTGCTACAACACAAGGAGAGAAGCGATGAGATTGAACCGAGAACCAAAATATCTGCACGGCTCAGGCACACACAGTGGCTAAGCCGACTGAGCTAGCTACTCTCTTAAAGCAGCATTATTTCTCAGTTTTAATACTTCAAATTTTATGATTTTGAAAAGTTCAATTCCTATCCATGAATTATGATATTTCACAGTCTATTTCAATCATCAAGGTGGACAATTACGTGCTATTGAATACAATGAAATCATATACAGTATCTCAAAAATATAATAGGCCTATGTGTTAGTTTATTTGAATAGCGTTACTGCTTCGGTTCTTCTCTCCTCTTTTTAATTTGTTACTTTTCCCCCACATTTCTTAGTGGCGTTGTATTTTGATTCATATTAAAAATATATAAAATTAAATATAAAAAATATTAAGAGTATTATTATCTATTTTTTCTTTATTTAGCATTTATTTATGATCAGAACAAATGCAAATAAAAAAGATATAAAAAGATACAACTATTAAAATATACAAAAAATGTACAAATTTGCCCACAATTTTCTATGAATGGACCCATAAAATCAACTGAAGTAAACAATATACGGTAGTATTTTAATATTAAAATGTAAGTAAATACAAAGTGGAATGCCGAAAGTAAGGACTTTTTTAGCCTCGCTTATTTACAACGTTTTTTTTTTTAGTAAAACAAAACGAAACTGCATTGCCTGTATTCATGATTATTTGTAAGCATAAAACAACTTTATGTTCACAAAAATACATGATTTGTTTTTTATATGATACATTATATTTCAGATTATTTATTAAGAAGGCCTAGCTTAATTTAATAGACCAAAGGCCTATGAAATAAAAATACGTCACATATATTTCTGATGATTTGAATGCTGTTTATGGATTAGAATGTAAAGAAAATCCACATACCTGATACAGCCTCTATTGGCAAAATGACTAGGAAGCAAAATATAATAACAACCCTTTTGCAGGAGCATTCGTTAAACATGTTGTTTGTAATACTGTTTGAGTTTTTAAAAAGAATTGGATGAGTAGGCGGTAATTTCCATGGTTGGATATGGTTAGGTATATCGGCTCCTGATAGACCTACAAAAGTACGGTACTGTACATTTGTGTACTAACGGAAGATAACTCCATTGGTATTGTTATATGGGTTAATTTGGGAGTACTGATTGGACATTTGAGCCACTGTTGATACAATTGTACTCCATTTATAAATAATTGCTTCCAAAGTGCACGATCTTTGCAGTCACAATAATAATTACACAAGTTACCAAAGTTTGAGTCACTTCAATAAAGGGATCGGTCCTTGGGCCGGCCTTATCTAACATTTTTGTTTAAGACGTATCTTCGTATATAAATTCACATATTTTACAATTACGCCGACGATGCTGTTCTCTATAGGGCTATCATGGATATAATTTCCCTACAAGATGATCTAGATGCCGTAGTTCACTGTTGCTCTTAGAATAAATTGAACCTCAATGTTAAGAAGTGTTCTGTTCTGCGCCTTACTCGGTCACCTAACCATTCAAATAATTATATTGAATATACCATTGGTTCTGAAATATTGCATCATGTTTGTGAGTTATACGGTCTGAGACTAGCTAAAATATACACACAAGCTACCGGGTAATGAAGATTTACTCTAATCGGAAGACCTCTCACTCTTTTACCATTTATAGTTTAAAGTATATTACTATGTACTTTCTTTCAAAGAAGCAGATGAATATATTAAATAGTATTTGACGAGTTATCTCATCTAATTAAATATGAATAATATGGACATAATTTAAGAGTGGGCCTACCAACTAATTAAAAAATAACAAAATGTGTAGCAGGCCTATCTTATATTTTGTTAGATTATGTTTTGTTGATTTATACACATGTAACGACTACTGCTGAGCAGATAATGCTCATTTGATTAGGCCCACCTTTCGTACAGTGAATTATTTTGTCTATCTTTTACAAATAAGGGCTTTTCAATTCAATCAATGAATAACAAATATTTGAAAGCGCCTAACATCCACAAATACTCACATATCCACAATTATCCTCAAAGTATTTAGTGGCGCTGTCACACAGAGTTTTAATAAGATAGAAAAGAGTATAAATATATAACTAAAACATTATCTAATGTTAGATCAGGTGTTTATTGTCGTTTTATCTATCTTTATGGATTGAATGGATATTAGCTTGAAATCAAATAATAGATCACGTATCTATCATTAATTTTCGTGTTGTCAAGCCAGTTACTATTCAGCAGGCAATTAACTTTGACCTTATGACAGTCACAATTCCTACGCGTGCTGGGCTTGATTTGGAAGATAAGAAGGAACTCTTTTACAATGTCAGGCTGATGGTACATGACGGTCGACCTTGTATTGAACGAGAAATTTAACGTTGGAGTGGGGTTATAGCGTTACCGGCATAAATGTGAAAATTATATTAGGTATGGGGTACGTGTATAATTGGCTTGTATCTGGAAAATGTGTGTGTGAGCGTGTAAAAAGTAGTGTACCTGAGCCCGTCTGGGCCAGGGTGAAAACAAGACGAATGCATTCACTTTGAACGATGTACTATATACTATAATAATTTTGAATTTAGACACCTAAATATCTAAAAGAACGCAGCTTCAGGGGATCTTCCTCAGCTACAAATACTGCCCTGGCTACTAACCGAGGCTCTGCTTGTGTGGCGTCGCAATGCGTAATGTGGTTTTAAGCTCATGCCTTCTATTTAGCTAATTAACTATTTCTAAAAAAATATAGAATAATTAAAGTTAACTGTACGAAAATGTTTGCCACATGCAGAAAAGAATGTTTCATTTTGTCAGGGTTAACAACATTTACAATATAAAAAAAATAATAGGCCTAGATAAAATACCCGTATAACTACTAGACAGACACAATAAAAGAGCGTAAGGCCTACCGTAACGCTGAATAACCCTGGGTTACTATTCTTTGATTACTTGTGCTTATTTAACAAAAATATTACAATATATACGTTAAAAAAAATTAACCATAATTGTTAGGTTAGTAATAACTGTATAGTATAATCAGGAGTTTATAGGCATGTAGAGTGACGATAAAGAGTGCAAAAAAAAACTTGTAGAATTGTTAATAATAAAAACACGAATTAGTATTTTATACTAATAGTAATAGCGAGGCCATTATTTATTCCCTCAAAACCAGTGTAGTAGTAATTAGCCTGGGTTCCAGGCCCTAATTTTAGGTTACTTACTCTTTATTGCACTTAGTGCGCGCCATACCTAATTTAATTGGCGTACCATATTCGATTTCTTTTTTTTCGAATTATTATTATTCCGTCTCTAAATTAACTTTCTCGTTGGTGGCGCTGTCCAGAATGAGAAAAATAAAAACATAGGAGACTTGTAGCAAGTCTAAGTAGTAAGCTGCAACTACCGGTTGACTTGTGGCTGAGTTGACTATGGCCGAGTTGACCCTCTTCCGTTTGGACCCGGAAGTAAGGAAAAGAAGAGTCACGTTGTGGAGAAGAAACTGTTGAAATTTTGTTGAATAAGGACAGCAGAAGAAAGGCAGTAACAGTTTGTATATTTTGAATGTGTTTTAAAGTAAGATGACGTACGTCTCTAGCTAGGAGGACCTAGAACTAGCAGTAGGGGTGTCTATAAAACCAAAACGAAGACCGAACACCCAAAAACGAAGACCCCTATTTTTTCTCTTTCATTTTGATGATAATACGCCAGGCTGTCACAGAATCAAAATTACGAAATTTTTTGGGCCTCTGTTTGTGAAATTTTCAAGGGTCTTCGTTTTATAGACACCCTATATGGGTTGTCTACGAGGGGGATATAACTTCTTCGGCCGCCGACACCTTCGGCTGGGCGAGATTTGTATGGAGCGCCAGTTGGGCATTTCTCCACACCGCATGCTGTGGCGGCGTATGCCTAACTGTAAGCCTTTGTTAAACTAATTAATTGCTGTCATGTCGCACAGAAATATTTACTTATTTATTTTAGGTATTGTATGTATATAATAATTGCTTTCATGTACAGTATTATTTACTTATTTATTTCAGGTATGTGGATTCCATTTATTGTAAATAAAAATTTTAAGTGTCTTACATTGAAGAATTGTAAAGCTTCAGTATTTTATTTGTTTTACAGAACAGTATTGTTATTCATTATACAATTTGAAACTGTAGCCTATTCATTGTACAGTAATTCATATTGCCAGTATAAGTATAAGCTCCAGTATTTTATTTATTTTACAGTACAGTATCTTTATTCATTAATTTGAAACTGTATTCATTGTACAGTAATTTATCATAAATTAAGAAGTCTCTCCCTCCAGTATGTGATTTGTTAATAAGACTGGAACTTACATTTTCGGCTGACATTCAACCTTTAAGAAAGAAAAGCAAATTTCAACATAAGGTAATGTTTATTCACAAATATAATTATTCAGTGTACAGTTTTATGCATTTATACATCATTGTAATTAATTATATAATAATTAGCATTACATAGTTGATACAGATTTACATTTGTTTTCATTTTAAATTAATTATTTAAATATCACTTAAATCTGCAATATTAAGGCCTAAAGATGAAATGCAATTACTGCAATACTAATACACATTAAAACTTATACAGTTGTAAGCTAAGCATTAAAACAATTAGAATTAATTAAATTTATATACAACTAATAAACTGATATAAAAATAGTACAGTAATACATAGTACTCATTTAAATCTGCAATATTGAGGCCTAAAGATAAATTTCATCACATTTATTTTTATTACATTTATTTCGTCGAAAACTTGATGAGTCTGCTGGCACTGTAGTACTGCACAATATGATAATGCATAAACTTAAATCTAAAATATATTAAGAACTGATATAAAAACAGTATTACATAGTACAATAACTGCATCATTCATCACATTTATTTTTATTACATTTATTTTCGTCGAAAACTTGATGAGTTTGCTGGCACTGATCATCATTGATCGGACATCACGCTCACCAGCGCGGTATTGGTTCCAAAGCCGGTTTAATCTGACATTTGCTGATGCGGATCGTTTAGACTCCAATCTTGTTACGTCCTCTCTGAAGACCAACTCTGATGTGATGGAGACAGTTACCCCTTCTTCGTAGAGTAGCTGAGTGAGCAGTTAAAACTGTAGTTTGCCTATGTAATCGAAGTAAAGATATAAATGTTAGAATATTAATAACAAATAAATGACAATCATCATCGCTGTATTACCATTCATAATACATCACAATAAATTCTGTAGAATTTAATTTATGAACTCACTACGCTTGGCTCAGTAGTTCAGCTGGCGGTGCCATCCTTCTTACCATCTGGCGGTACACCACCCAATCCCTACACTGTTAAAAAAAAAGGTGCAAATATCTACTTAAAAAGGTACAAAACGATGCAACACCACAGCCACCTTTTAAGGTGCACAATTGTACCTCTAAATAAAGGTGCAACCTTGCACCCCATTATATGGTACAGTAATGCTCCTTTGGGGTTCTAAATTGTACCCTTTAATTATGACATGATTGACAGAAGGTGGTTCACATCAGCACTTTAGCAGGTTCACATCAGAACATTAGCTGGTTCACATCAGCACCTTATAAACACTACACAAGTTCAACATTCAACAATTAGTAGTAAATATGTACTGGGTAGTGGTTGGGAATTAAGAATGATTACTTGGCTTACATACCCATTACACTGCATTACACTATTCTATGAATGCTAATTTTCACCTGTGTCAAGAATAAAAGCACAAACAAAGCAGCATTAACAATTCAAATGTTTATTCGGATAAAAACGTATTACTTAACTAATATGACAAACACTTCTATGGTCAGTTATTACAAGTAATTATTAGAGGACAAATATAATGCATCATCTATTCACTGGATATGTTACAGTTTTTCTAGTATAAAATAAATCCCTACCTTAAAAATAAAAATAGGAAAGCTTGAAAAATAGAATTTGCATTCTATATCTGGAATTCACTTCTGAAATGAGGTAGCTATAGGCTAGGGAAATGCTGGTGCTGGAGTGAATGCGAGGTTGTGGTGTGAAATCTACAATCTCACACATACTTGAGCCAACAAGGCATGACATACCGTACCAAAAAAAATGTTGTGATGGCGGTATGGAGGTGTTGTGGTGTGAAACTGCAAAGCATAACCGAAATAGGCCTATATACAGTACAGTAGGTATTATATACATAAGAAAATGGCCATCATGTTTTATTGCTACAATATTAATGGCATTGATTATCCCATAAGGCAGCAAAAAATAGTCTCATTTACTTTCAACAGTATATTGCTGCATTGGGCAGAGATTTGCAAACACCTGTAAAGGTACAGAGGTTTGTGAATAGCATTCATACTGCCTGATTTATTTACATCCATACCCACCATAGTTTATTAAGGACTGAGTCCTAAATTTTAAAATGACAATACTGTGAATTATTTAAATAAATAAAAAAATATAAAAAAAATATGAAAATTATAAAAAAAAAAAAAAATAAATAAATAAATGAATAATAATAATTAAAAAAATTCTCAACATTATGAATTATTTTGCTGAGCATGTAGGCTACGAGTCCTACCCAAGTTTAAGGTCTTTACATGCATTCTGAATGATCTACTGTTCTTGTATCCGGTCATATTGACATTGGCCTAATATTATGAAAGCCAGTCTTAAATACCCAATACTATACATTGCATCACAATAATGTAATAATATATTCCTAGGTGTACAGACTAAAAAAAAAACGTCCATCCAATTTAGAAACTGAAAGGTTTGTATTTTGAAAAGATTTTTCTTTTACCTGACAAATTTTTTCCTGATTTTTTTTTCTCCCTGATGGAGGCTCCCCTACCCCACCCCACTGTCCATTTTTTTGCGTACAATTGTTGTGATAACCATCTTATTAACTCTAATACACTGTATGCTTTGTGGTAATCATCACACTGGCTTAACATATTAATACTCTGTAAAAGTATGCATTGTGGTAACCATACTGGCTTAATCTTTTGTATGGAATATATGTCTATGTAATACCAGACAAGGTGTCAGTGACCAGGACCCTCTATGCCTTTCAGTTTCTAAATTGGATGGACGTTTTTTTTTAGTCTGTACACCTAGGAATATATTATTACAGTATTGTGATGCAATGAGACAAGAAACTGTTTTCTTCTACTGTAGTGTAGATCCTCAAAAATTGGCTTTTTATATATATTTTTTTCTATTCTCTCCATGAAATAATTCACCATATTGTCATTTTAAAATGGTACTGGTATTTCCATGAGGAAGAATACAAGAGTTCTGAAAAAGCATTTCCTTCATGAATAATGCCAGTTCTGCTTCTTTTTAAGTGGAACAAAGCTTTAATAGTAGATGGGAAAAGTGTAATCCCCCAGCATTATATTCTCAATAACTATAGGCCATTTCCATTCCTTTTTATGGAATTATTTGTCTCAATCATTATTGACATGCTACATAATTGATTTGGATATTTAATTATTACCTCATTTTCTAGTTTAAGAAAAGGAAATTTCGCCAACACGTCTTTCACAGAGTACTCGGCAATATATTTTAAACGATATTCCTTTGTACGCTCTAGTTTATCGGCCATAATGTTCTAGTCTGGGTTACACTTCTTTGAAAGGTCCATTAAATCTGTTACATGCTTGATGCTGGCTTGGTTTTCTCCTGACGTATTTTCCTAAGATGCCAAATAGGGAAAATATCATTTCAAAAATTCAAAGATGCACTGTCACTTCGACAATCGGAAAAAACATTTACCATGACAACAACATACTAAAACTCAATATTCAAACATTTACAACCATTTGAGTATGAGAATTCTTACATTTGCTTTTAGCAATTTTATTGTTTATTGTATTTAATATTGTTATACAGTATTATATTAACTATTGCGGCTTACGATATATGTTTCATCTTTAAGGTGATTACATTATGTGTACATAGTACAGTAATTTTTTAATTCGATTTTTTATGATTTTACAATTTTCTAAGGGACAGTGCCACATTAAAGGTTCAGTTCTGTGCCGTATTTGTGCCAGTATATGATTTTTACCTGAAAATAAGGTGATTGGGATGAAGTAGATAGGCCTTATACCATTTTTACATTATGAAGGTAAATTTATACCTTAAATCTACTTTTCATTCCAATTGTTTGTGCTTTCCCAAAAAGCTATAAGCTGATTGGACTGAAGCAAAGAATTTGAACCACCAACATCTCTATTGTGAGACTACAATAAAGAGTCATAGAGTTATATGCGAGTACAAAAATGCCCTTTTGCATGTTATTTCATCTGTCTGACTAACTCTTAGTTTGGTTCAGACGACAGCATACAATTATTAATTATACTAAATGGCAGTAGCTACGGTACTTAAGCATTATTACAATGTACTGTACTGTATGTTCTGATACACAAATTCTAAATACCTTGATGACATCATGCTTGAAATCACCCTTAATCTACCCCAGAATTTGACTCAATTTTTTTTTTTGCTGTAATGTGTCTTTTCAGTATGTAAAATTGTTAACATGGCTTACATGTCCTGTTGAATTTCCAGATTTATCTTCTAAGATCTTAAACTTGGTAACTAGCTCTGGCTACCTCAGTATACTCAGCTGTTGTTGAATATCTACAAAAAAAAAGGTGCAAGGGGAAAAATTACTGTATCAAGATTAACAATCAATTTTTTTTTGCTGTAATGTGTCTTTTCAGTATGTAAAATTGTTAACATGGCTTACATGTCCTGTTGAATTTCCAGATTTATCTTCTAAGATCTTAAACTTGGTAACTAGCTCTGGCTACCTCAGTATACTCAGCTGTTGTTGAATATCTACAAAAAAAAAAGGTGCAAGGGGAAAAATTACTGTATCAAGATTAACAATCAGTGAATAAACATGGAAAGAATAGTGTTAAAATAGATGAATTAAAGTATTTTGAAGCTTTAGCAATAAACCCTCTTGACAGTGCATGCATTATAGTAGACTTCATTACTTTTTATAGTACTAAATGTGAAGATGCCCAGGTAATAAATTGAATCAATGAGAAAGTCATAGGTAATCGGAAGCAGGTCTGGAAAGAGGAAACTGCATCAAATTAGTACAGTAGTAAAACTTTAAGTAGTACTCAAAAACATAATAATCAGGTTAAATACTTACAGAGTAAATTGTATCATGTCTTCAAATAAACTTTGTATAATCTTACGATAATACCACCTTGACAACACCGACTTGTCCTGGTGTTTCAAAAGATCTTCCACATCATGTGGTAATACAGGTACTGTACTTGGTAAGGTAAAGGCCACTTGGATAAAGAAGGCACATCACAGGCCTTGGTATACAGGTGAACTAGTAGTAAAGTAAGTGAACCATGGATAGGAATTGAATATACATTCAAACTTTCCAAGGTCAAATAATTTCTATGTTGAACTTATTTTACATGCCAAATTTTCCATTAATTAACAATCAAATTTAGTCCATGTCGAATTACTTTCCTTTAGTTTGATAGAAAGATTAAAACAATGCTAAGAAAAAGTTCAAAGTATTTTTTTAATCAATGAATACACAAAAGCAAAGTAAAGGAAGAAAGGCAGGAAATTATTTTCCAGATAGTGCAATGCTTAATTATAATGTATGTTTTTATACCAAATTTAGGAGTGCAACTCATCAGAAGCTATGGCACTCAACATCATTTGAATTCAAATCGTAGCCTTTATGGTAAAACTTGCCGAAACGCTAAACAAAACGGTACTGTATGTCCAAACACAGTACCATCGTTTAGAAAAATTTTACCATAAATAACATAACATAACGTTTTGGGAAGTTTTACCATAAAAGCACTTAGAGGGCATCTTAAATTATCAGTCTTATTTAAGTTATATGTAGAAAAGCTAATATTTCTTAATTGTATTAATCCCCTTCCTTAAGTGCAATTTTATTTTTCAATTCGTTTTTCAGGACCCAAAAGGATTTTGTTTCACATTACTTAGAAACCCTCGCCCCTCCCCCAACAACAAGTATTTCTGAACACTCCCTTACCCAGTTGGTTAATTAATAATATCAGGTTGAGGTTAAATGACATGGGCATAAATTGTCTTATTCAAGATTATGTTTCTGTTTTATATTTACTTTGTTGATAGGCCTAGGCTATGCCATATTGGATATAATTTCTAGGCATAGGCCTACAGTCAAGCGTATTATTAGCCTATGCCTAGGCTAGTAGGCCTAGGTACATATGAAAATAAACTTTTTTTGTCTAGGGCCTACATTTCCAAGTTTTATGTCAAAATGTCAAAATATTCTAGAAGAAGAAGACAGTGACTGATCAGTGTCCAAGAAGTCTTCCTATTATAGGTCTAGGCTGGCCTTAACGGATCTATTTAATTTTGCTTAAAGTAAGCCTAGCCTAGGCTACGGGCGGGTGCCTGGGGGTCTATCTAGGCCTATCTGATAAGCCCCTAGGTTATATCAAAGAGTATAAATAGAACAAGAGAGCCAACAACGCTCATTGGGAGCGTAAAAAAACGATACGCTCTACGCAGCTAGTGTAGGACGCCAACTAACGCTTGTATATGTTTTATTACCCAGTACTGCACCTGTCTCTTATACACATCTAGATGTGTATAAGAGACAGGTACTGCACCGCGCACTGTAGGTTTGTCTGTTTATCTGTTCTCCACAAGATACTGTGCTTTTGTTTTCTGCTTACTGAGTTTATAGCGGGCGTACTTCTACCGCGCTGCGCAGCGCTGCACTGGGTAATAAAAAGAATATACAACCGTTAGTTGGCGTCCTACACAGGCATGACGTTTTTACGAACGGGACTTTGCTCTCTTGTTCTGTTTATACTCTTTGGTTATATATAGGCCTAGGCTAGGTTTGGTCTACTTACTTACGCAGTTTTGTTATGGCCAAATGACTGATGAAAAGAGGAACAACCGACCAATATAATATTTCGACTTTTGATGGAAAGACGTCAACAACCAGACAAACAGTAATGAAGTTAGACAAGACATGTGCATGAACAGAGGATGCGTCGTCAACTGTCTGATTTCATTCAGCCGGCGGCGGCGGCGGGGAAAAAAGCCTGCCCGCACACATTATTACACGCGGCTAACTGTCATTCGTCGTACGTGCGTGCACTTCTTTAAAGCCCGTCGCACACGACAAGATTTAACTGTTCTTCCTACCTGCTAAGGTGCTCATGTGAACTTGCTGAGGTGCTCATGTGAACCTGCTGAGGTGCTCATGTGAACCTGCTAAAGGTGGATTTAAACCAATCATGCGAACCTGCGGCCCTGCCGAGGTGCCAATTTCAACCAGGTGAGGGGCGCATGTAAACCTGTTAGGTGCTGATTTGAACCCGTAAGGTACTGTGATTACTCAAGGTGCCTAATATTATGTTATCGCCGACATTGTAACGCAGCCCCGACGCAGTCGGGAAGGCTCCCTGATTCGACCGACCAATCAGCACAAAGCTAGGTTTCCATAAAATCGCTAACCCTATTGGCGACAGTTGTCGGGAAGGTTGAACCTGGTTCAACTTTGCTGATTGCATTGCAGACGAATCGGGGTGTCGGGGTGGCCACATGATCCTGTTTTGTCTGCAATGGTTAAACCAATTGTTCAACATGCACTGTTGGCGAAAGTGCTAGCGATGTTTGGACACCAACCAAAAGCTGTCAGTAATTAATTAGCGTATAACGATTTTATGGAAATCAAGCTTTAACCTGCTAAAGGTACTCATGTTAACCTGATAAGGTACTCATGCGATCTTGCTAAGTTGCTCAAGTGGACCTCTATGGGTGCTGATTTGAACCTTGTGGTGCTGTTATGAACCCTGCAAGTACTAAGTTACGAATTTGCACCCTTGATGTGGTAGGTAATAATGAGCCCAATGAGATTTTCAGACCACTTGAATTGAAGTTGCATCTTCTGTGTCAATCATGCCCATTTTTTTTACCACACGGCAACTAAATCGCCCATGTTTTATGTATATACTAATTATATAGGGCCTAGCCTAGGCATATTAAATTTTGCGTTTTCGCAACTCCTTCGGCGCTCCATATATTTGATCGAAATGAGGCGCGACCGAAACGAAGCGCGACGGGGTTGGTTGGGTCAATTTGGGGTTTTTAGGCCCTCGACACTGCCAGAGTGCTTCAAAATAGCTAAAATTTGGTGAAATGTAACTTCAAGTATATCTGCCAATACTAAAGCAAAAAAAATTGTCAAAAAATTAAAAGTCTGCAATTAACAGGTCATTAAAAAAAAAAAAGGTAAATTAGTCCGTCACGGGGTTGGTTGAATCATCATAAGGGGTTGGTTGAATCACCAATGTAAATGATGTGTATTAGTCAGTTTTAAGCAATACGATGCATCCTTGTCACTGACGGGTTTCAAACATAGCCCCCAATGGTCGAACAAATATGAAGGACTGAAGCGAAATGTCTGTCACTCAACAATACCAATTGTTCTTATTGTGGATAAATTGATACCAGATGCTATGCGTCCCACCTAAATTTTAAGGTAGGCCTAATTATTGGGGTTGGGGTTTTTAAGCCCTCGACACTGCCAGAGTGCTTCAAAATAGCTAAAATTTGGTGAAATGTAACTTCAAGTATATCTGCCAATACTAAAGCAAAAAAAATTGTCAAAAAATTAAAAGTCTGCAATTAACAGGTCATTAAAAAAAAAGGTAAATTAGTCCGTCATGGGGTTGGTTGAATCATCATAAGGGGTTGGTTGAATCACCAATGTAAATGATGTGTATTAGTCAGTTTTAAGCAATACAATACGTACTAGTCATTGTAAATCTTCAAACATGTTTATTTTCACTTTTCAGGATTTAACATACAGTATTATTATTATAATTATTATCATTATAATTATTATGATACAGTAGCAGTAGTAAATGATCAATTTGGTATTGGATTGTGTGTATTTATCATACGTATACTGAACTTTTAATTTTTTTTAAAATGAATTTTAAAGGTTTTTTAAGCAATTTTCTTATATTAGAAAGAGAAAAAGATGATTCTGATTTCTGTATATACTGTATGTAGCAACAGAAACTTTGAACTTCGGAAATCATACAGTTCCTAAAAACAACACGTTTATCTATGTCCTTTACTTATCGCAGTCTAGGCAAAGAAATGTTTCGCTGTCTTCTATACACTCTTCATGGGCCCATTGTTCACATCTATCAACTGTACACTTCACCCACTCCTCTCCAGGTCTGCTGTTCGAAAAACCACCGCATATATCGCATAACCAAATAGCTTCAGCCGCTTCTTGCTGACTTTTTTTTTATTTCTCGGTCACTTTCTTTTTCTGATTTTTTGACTTCTTTCCTTTGTTTTTTGTAGAATTTTCTTTTCTTATTCTAATTGCTTCTTTCTCGGGGGTATCTCTTAAAATTGCTGTTTTCAACGTTCTTCTTTTAGTTGTTGTCTTTTGTTTCGCTGGTGCTTTCGGAAGCGGGCGAATTACCTCTGGGCTAAAATTTGGTTCCGATGAGAACGTCAGTTGTTTTCTAAAAGATGCTGAACTTGTGGAAGGGACATCTTCATCGTTTATGTCCATAGGCTCAGGTACTTGGTTTCGGGTTGGTGGCGATATGACCAGTTGGTCTCTAGGGGCAGCTGGGGGCTGCTCATGAACTATTGGTGGTTGTTCAGGAGCTGTTTGTGGTAGTTCCAGGGCATCTGGTTGCTGTGCATCGTCCGCGTTTGGATGTAGTGGCTGATCAGTTGGTTCAGCTGGCGCAAACTCATGGTCGTCAAATATGTCGCTGTTGTAGGGGTAAATCCCACATTTTCGGAAACCATTTATGATGTTGGCGGGGGTGTTAGCTTTGGTGAGTGCGGTGTTGACCAATCCAGGAATATCATGCATTGTCATTCGCTCTCCAGGATGGTTGCGTAACCATGTCCCTTGGGCACATTTAAGATAAGTCTTGAATGGTCCATACACACTACGATCTAGTGGCTGGAGTTTATGACTTGTGTGTGGAGGAAAACTTAGCAAAATTATGCCATTTTCCCTGGCAAAATCAATTGTAGCAATCGACATATGGGGTCCGCAGTTGTCCAAAAGCAGGAGCTTAGGTGAGCATATTTTACAAAATGCTCCATAAATGCAAGAAAGTCATCACCACTCATCCATCCAGATCCTTTGCTTCGGCCTACACATCCTGGTGGTCCATCTTGAATCATCCGCTCAAAGAACTGCTTCCTTGGGAACAGAAACATAGGGGGGGGGGGTGGCATTCCCCACAGCATTAACTGCTTGGCAAACTGTAACAAGAGTGCCTCTCTCTGCACTTACAATTGCACCCACTTGTTTTTCACCTTTCTTAGCAACAACTTTAGAGGGCTTCTGTACAGTTGTCGCACCAGTTTCCATATGTCATTTGGACTAAAGTGATGCCTGTACATTACAGTTGCTAACTTGTTGAAGAATAGATTAACATTTGGCCGCTTAAAGTTGATGGCTCGTGCTAAACTTGTGGCCTCTGGTTGTCGAATGCTAATATTCTGTTGCCG